CCTAGCTCTGTTGCATCTAATTCTATTGTCCTCTGTCCTCGTTACTTTCTCCACTCCCTCCAGCTTCTCACTTTTGTTTCCTGACACTGTCTATTAACCCATGGGTCTGTCAGCACTGTGGAGCACTACACCCAACAGACCACTGGAACATTATCTAACACAGTGTACAGTTACAAACCCAATAAGATTTCAACTTAGAAAAACAGAGCAGAAGTTGTTAAACACATGGGACAAAATCTTACTAAAGCGACCATACGAGTTATAAATATTCACAAGCCGCCTAAGTAAAACAGAAACAAGCAACACTTAGTGGGCCAGTCAGAGGCTTAGGGCCCGCGCAGGAATATCCCAGCAAAAAAAAAAATAATAAATGGGTAATTAAATTCCATTCTACTTTTTTCCTTTACTATTGGTATAAAACTCTCTTCGGTCTCCTTGCATTTCCACATGACTAGGTCCATCATATCTTGCACTGTTTTTCTCATAATTCTTCTTCCCACTGCACTTCTCCTATATATTCTCTTATCCTCCTGTTGTCCCCTTTCCTATAGTCTGCTCTCTTTTCCCAGACCTCTTGCCCCGTGTTCACAATTTTAAGCTCGATCATGTAGTCAAAGAAAAGTACACATTGGTCACTGGCTCCAAGTGGTATTTCATGTTCCATATTTGTAATGTCTTCCTCATTCTGGGTGAAAATCAGGTCTAATAGGGTTGGTGTATCCAGTCCTCTTTTCCTTGTTTCTTCCTTCACATGTTGTGTTAGGAAATTCCTGTCTATAATTTCCACCAATTTTGCTCCCCACGTTTCTTCCTCACCATGAGCATTTCTTGATTCCTCAATCGATCTCTCCGTGATTGAGGTCCCTCAAAACCAATAGGTTCGCTCTCATATTCCTGTCTGGGACTTCTACTGTTCAGTGGGGGATTGTATATTATCAAGATCACAATCCTCTTCCCATCACCTGTAAGAATCGCAAGTATGGAGCTTGTGTTTCCATTAGACCCCGGAGTCTCTTTTTCCTCAAATTTCCATTTCCGCTTTATATGGAGTGCCACTCCCCCCTCGCTGTCTCTGTGTCCTTTTTTGAGTTTCCACTATTGCAATTATGTCTGGATCTGCTTCACTAACCCTTTCTTGAAGTGAAAGGACAGTGCGTGTGTGTGTGTGCGCGAGTGTATGTAGGTGTGTACTCACCTATTTGTACTCACCTATTTGTGTCTGCAGGATCGAGTATTGACTCTTGGATCCCGCCTTTCGAGCATCGGTTATTTACAGCAATGACTATGGTCCTATTTCCCTATCATACCTAGTTTTAAAATTATGAATAGTATTTGCTTCCACAACCTGTTCCTTAAGTGTATTCCATTTTCTCACTACTTTCCTACTGTGTGTGTGTGTACTCACCTATTTGTACTCACCTATTTATGCTTGCGGGGGTTGAGCTATGGCTCTTTGGTCACGCCTCTCAACTGTAAAACTGTGTGTGTGTGTGTGTATGTGTGTGTGTGTGTGTGTATGTGTGTGTGTGTGTGTGTGTGTGTGTGTGTGTGTGTGTGTGTGTGTGTGTGTGTGTGTGTGTGTGTGTGTGTGTGTGTGTGTGTGTGTGTGTGTGTGTGTGTGTGTGTGTGTGTGTGTGTGTGTGTGTGTGTGTGTGTGTACTCACCTCACCTATTATTCACCTAGTCGTGCTTGTAGGGGTTGAGCTTTGGCTCTTTGGTCCCACCTTTCAACCGTTAATGTACTGGTGTACAGATTCTTGAGCTTCTCGAGCTCTATCATATCTACATTTGAAACTGTGTACGGAGTCAGCCTCCACCACATCACTTCCTAGTGCATTCCATTTACTAACTACTCCGACACTGAAAAAGTTCATTCTAATGTCTCTGTGGCTCATTTGGATACTCAGCTTCCACCTGTGTCTCCTTGTGCGTGTGCCACCCGTGTTAAACAATCCATCCCTGTCTACCCTGTCAATTCCCCTGAGAATTTTGCATGTGGTGATCATGTCTTCCCGAGCTGTTCTGTCTTCCAGCGACGTGAGGTGTAGTTCACGCAGCCTTTCCTCATAACGCATGTCTCTTAGTTCTAAGGGTAGCCTAATGGCATACCTCTAAACTTTTTCCAGCTTTGTCTTGTGCTTGACAAGGTACGCGCTCCAAGCTGGGGCTGCATACTAAATACCAGGATTGGTATTACATATGTGGTATACAAAGTTCTGAAAGATTCATTACACAGGTTGCTGAAGTCAGTTCTGATGTTAGCCAGCCTCGCATACGCCGCCGATATTATTATTTTGATGTGGGCTTCAGGAGACAGGAGAAGCGTGTGTGTGTGTGTGTGTGTACTCACCTATTTGTACTCACCTATTTGTGCTTGCGGGGGTTGAGCTCTGGCTCTTTGGTCCCACCTCTCAACAGTCAATCAACTGGTATACAGGTTCATGAGCCTACTGGGCTCTATCATATCTACACTTGAAACTGTGTATGGAGTCTGCCTCCACCACATCACTTCCTAATGCATTCCAGTTGTCAACCACTCTGACACTAAAAACGTTCTTTCTAATATCTCTGTGGCTCATTTGGGCACTCAGTTTTCACCTGTGTTCCCCTAGTGCGTTTGCTCCATGTGTTAAATAGCCTGTCTTTATCTTCCCTATCAATTCATTTGAGAATCTTGAATGTGGTGATCATATCTCCCCCTAAGTCTTCTGTCTTCCAGCGACGTGAGGTTTAATTCTCGTAGTCTCTCTTCGTAGCTCATACCTCTCAGCTCGGGTACTAGTCTGGTGACAAGCCTTTGAACCTTTTCCAGTTTAGTCTTATCCTTTACAAGATATGGACCCCATGCTGGGGCTGCATACTCCAGGATTGGCCTGACATATGTGGTATACAAAGTTCTGAATAATTCCTTACACAAGTGTCTATATGCCGTTCTTATGTTGGTCAACCTGGCATATGCCGCTGACGTTATCCTCTTTATATGGGCTCCAGGGGACAGGTCTGGCGTGATATTAACCCCCAAGTCTTTTTCTCCTTCTGACTCTTGAAAAATTTAATCTCTCAGATGATACCTTGTATCTGGCCTCCCGCTCCCTATACCTATATTCATTATATTACATTTGCTTGGGTTAAACTCTAACAACCATTTGTTCGACCATTCCTTCAGTTTGTCTAGGTCTCCTTGAAGCCTCAAGCAGTCCACCTCTGTCTTAATACTTCTCATATTAATCTCCTCCTCCTCTTTCCCTTGTGTCTTCCTTCACATGTTGTGTCAGGAAATTCCTGTCTATAACATCTACTAATTTTGCTCCCCACGTTTGGTCCCCTCCATGGGGATTCCTTGATTCCCAATTTATCTCTCCATGATTTAGGTCCCCCATGATCAGCAGCTTCGCTCTCATTCTGTGGGCTAGTGTTGCTGCCTTCTGCAGTTCATCTATACATGCATTGTTGTTGTCATCATACTCCTGCCTGGGTCTTCTACTGTTTGGTGGGGGATTGTAGATTACCAAGATCACAATCTTCCTCCCATCTACTGTCAGAGTTCCATGTATGAAGCTTGTGCACTCATTGGTAATTCGATTTCCTAGGTCTTCAAACTTCCATTTCCGCTTTATTAGGAGTGCTACTCCCCCTCCCTGTCTCTGTGTCCTTTCTTTTCGTATCACCTGGTACCCTTCAGGAAAGATTGCATCTGAGATCATGTCATTAATTTTAGTTTCCACAATTGCAACTATGTCAGGATCTGCTTCACTCACTCTTTCTTTTATCTCTTCTGCTTTATTAGATACCCCATCAACATTGGTGTACCAAACCTTGAGATTCTTCATGGAAACTCTTGTACCAGAGTTCTCCCTTTCTCTGGGGGTCTGGGGGGATCTGGGGGGTGTCTGGGGGTGACTGGGGGCAGGGGGGATCTGGGGAATCTGGGTGGTGTCTGGGGGATGACTGGGGGCGGGGAGGATCCGGGGGATGTCCGGGGGGATCCGGGGGGTGTCTGGGGGGGTCCGGGGGGTGTATGGGGGGTGAAAGAGTTCAGGAGGGGTGCTTGGGGGGCTACTGGGGGCTGGGCTTCTAGGAAGGTAGGTAGGAGGGTCTGGGGTAGGGCCTGGGTAGGTAGGTCTGGAGTAGGAAGGGCATACTAGGTCTGAAGATTAGGGAGGGCATAGAGGGGTTGGGAGATAGCGTAAGGTTGGGAGTCAGATAGAGGTTGGGAGGGGAAAGGATAGAGGGTGTGTGTGTGTGTGTGTGTGTGTGTGTGTGTGTGTGTGTGTGTGTGTGTGTGTGTGTGTGTGTGTGTGTGTGTGTGTGTGTGTGTGTGTGTGTGTGTGTGTGTGTGTGTGTGTGTGTGTGTGTGTGTGTGTGTGTGTGTGTGTGTGCGCGTGTGCGTGCGTGTGTGTGTGTGTGTGTGTGTGTGTGTGCGGGCATGCGTGCATGTGACGACATGTACGTGATACCCCGTCGACTGTTCTGAATTCTTCGATCTCAAACAATCATAATGTTCGACTCTAATTTTAATTCCAATAGATTACAGTGTAGATCTTACTGGTGTGAACCATCGCCACGACTTGCCGCCGACCTCGCAGCCAGCGGTGGGTCCCTCGCCTCCTTAACGTCAATGACCCCGCAATTAAGATGACAGGAAAATACAGCAACCATCCAATTATACACAGTCTTGTGCTGTTAAAGTGTGTGCTTATCTTATGAAAACATAATTCTATTACATTTCCTATGTTCGGATATCGGATGGTGATGAGGACAACGAGGAGATGGATGAGGATATCACGATATAAGAAAAAAAAGATGTTTTATCAATTTTTTCAAAGAATTTCCGTGTAGGAGAACACACTGCACATGGGTTATCCTTCTCTAGGGTTAACCCTTCCTAGAATCAAGAGCCGACAGGCACAGAGAGGCCCAGCGGCCTACACAACCCGCCCTACAGCTTCAGGTATGCACCAGGTGTCGACCTTGGCTAGTCCCAAGCGGCAAGAACTCCCTGTGAAAGGTGGTGTTGGTGGTGGCTTGTCTGTATATAAGCGCTGTCTCGCCTCCCAGAGAGCATCACCCTCTCGCCAGCTCCCCCTTCACATCCACCATGAAGCTCGTGAGTACCGCCTCCACCATTGTTATTTTGGTATATTTACTCTATAATGGCAGGAGCACTGGACACTGGTCATCCACTTGGGCACTGGTCTTCCACCTGGACACTTGTGTTCCACTTGGGCACTGGTCTTCCACCTGGACACTTGTGTTCCACCTGGGCACTGGTCTTCCACCTGGACACTTGTGTTCCACTTGGGCACTGGTCTTCCACCTGGACACTTGTGTTCCACCTGGGCACTGGTCTTCCACCTGGACACTTGTGTTCCACTTGGGCACTGGTCTTCCACCTGGACACTTGTGTTCCACCTGGGCACTGGTCTTCCACTTGGGCACTGGTCTTCCACCTGGACACTTGTGTTCCACCTGGGCAAAGGTCTTCCACTTGGGCACTGGTCTTCCACTTGCCCAGGCTCTCCAGGGTGGGGTTAGCCAGTGGACTTATCCATATTATTATGGAGTCTGGGCATAGGTTGAATATTTGGTAAAGTGTTTGTGAACATTTGGGATAGTTTAGGATCAGAGGCTGTTTGTAATCCATGAGCCAGTGTGTGTGCATTATGAGAGATACGGGCGCATATGATTTGTTGTGCATTATGAGATCATAATGTGTCTCATGTCTCATAATACACACACATTGGGTATAGGATGGTCTGCTTGTGACTTATATCTGCTGGCGTCTGATGTCTGCTAGTGACTCAAGTTTGTTAGTGATTGATATCTGCTAGTGACTTAATATATCTGCTAGTGGCTGATGTATGTTATCCAAATATGTTTCCTAAAGTGACTCGTGTCTGCTAGCGACTGATGTCTGCTAAGCAGCGTCAGGACAAAATACACACAGCAGCACCACCTGCATATAGGAACTCTTATGAAGGCGCTAAATCATTTTTTCCCGTTTATTTTCAAGGGCCAATAACCCAGTATCACAGAGTTCACCTTATGTTAAAATGACGTATGTGTCGTAATTCTCAGTTTACCTCATGGTAAACCTCGTAGTATATGGAGATAATTATCAGTTTCCCCGATGTTAACCTTCTCCTACGGTGCCTCACCTGCCTCTCCCTTTGCCTGCCGCAGGTGCTCCTCGCCTGCCTGGCCGCCGTCGCCGTCGCCGCCCCTCAGCGCGACCCTAAACCGGAATTAGCCACAGTCCTGAGAGACGACCGAGAGGACAGCGGCGACGGCAACTTCAAGTACGAGTTCGAGACCTCCAACGGCATCGTTCAGAGTATAACCGGGTACCCTGGAGCAGAGGGCTCAAGCAACATCCAGGGATCCTTCAGGTGAGTCTCCACGATCCGTATTCCACTTGGGAGTCTTTGTATGTTATTAAAGCTTTAGTTATCCCTTGCTCTTGTCTGAAGATTCAGTATTTCTGTTGCGCTTATTTATTACTATGACACAGTCATGTTCATAGTATTTGGAGTTATAAATTTCTGAGAAAAGTTGATAGATACCTTTAGTTTAAATACTCCCTAAAGAGCATCGTCAGAATTCAATAGAATCATTATGATAACAGATATAATAATCATACTTGTATTTAAAGCAACACATTAGCATTGAGAGGCTCAGAGTAGTAGTTGGTAAACTAGAAAGACTAATGTTCTTTTTTCCTCAGCTTCCCACTCGATGATGGACGTCAGGCGTCTTACACCTTTGTCGCCGACGAGAACGGCTACCAGCCACAGTCCGACCTCATCCCCGTGGCCCCCCCACTTCCCCCTCACGTTATCGAACTCCTGCAGATCGTCGAACAACTGAAAGCTCAGGGAGTAAAATGGGACGACCAAGGAACGCGAATCAACTAAACATCCCAGCATAAGACACACCCAAGGCTGATGATCACAACCTCCACACGACTTCCGCTGAACCTGGAGGGTTCACATACGAGGTCATAGTGACCTCAGACGGCTGGGCCGTCACCCTCCAGTTTCATCAAGGGAAACCTGTAACTCTCCCATTAATGCCGTCGGATTATCTTGGACCGTCGGCTCTGTAGCGTGCATCTCCGCCTTCACACTTTGCAACGTTCTTCACATCCTATCAACAAGGTCATCACATCCTTACTCACACGGACACCCTCGCTGGACACATCCCGTCCTGCCCATAAGGATACCCCATTCCCATGGACACTCTTGTATGTACATAGTTAAAGGACTACAGCTTCGGGGCAACATCAAGCATCTAAGATCACCTGGACGAATTCAATGCTTGTGATCAATTTGTAATAAACTCCCTGCAGCCAGAACTCCCTTTCACTCTCCTTTGACCCCTCAACGTGTGATGCTTGCCAGCCAGAGTTCTGTTACTTTCTTCTTACCTCTCACTAATCCAGCCAGAGCTTTAACACTCATTTTCAACTACTTCTTTTTGACAACTAAGGTACTCAAAGCACTTCCACTTCTCCTTCCACCAATCGGTGCATAATATGAAAAGCCACAGCTCTTTGTCACCTTCCTTTATGTACTCAGTATGTACTCCATGCTTGACCTGATGTGTAGTATCCTGATTTTTATATATATTAAAGTGGGGATTATAAAAGCAAGCATATTCATGGAGGGATAAAAGTTAATAAAATTGTTCCTATTACAAGCGGCCCGCGTCACAACCTTCCACGCAATCTTCCACCATATTTTAACCTTTAGATAAGATACATTAACCATCACATTCACTAGCGGCAAGTGTGAACACAATGCACCATTGTTGATTCACAATCCTTCAGTCGTCCAAGTGGGCGCAACACAAGCCGCACTCTTCCCTCTGTGTTGAGTGATCTTGAGAGAGCAACTTGCAAAGACTCTTGATGGTGAAATACAATTTGTTAACCATATATAATACACTCTGAACAGCCACACGACCTTTGTGTGGAGAGGCTGCGTGCGCCACATTAATCTAACTTCATCATTTTGCTTCTCAGTAGACGAGCAACAGTATCCTAAATATTGTCATACTTGAGATAAAAATTATAGAGAGCAATCTCACATTAGTGGCGATACTCCATTACAGACCAGAGATGCGAGTTGAAGACTGTTGTTCATCGCTCTGCGTCTTGGTGAAGAGCTTGAATGTTGAACACAGATACGTTTGTCCTTATTGAATAAATATTAAAAACAAAAACTGCATGTACAACTAGAAAAAGATAAACTTACTGCAAAGCCATATTAATGCGTTAACAATTTTCCTGCAATTCGCGAAGTAAGTTTCTTTTTTCATCAAAGCATTTGTGTTTAATTATCTAGAAGTATACTTCACTTCTAGAATTATTTCCAAGTAACTTTCCCTTCTAGTAGTTTTAGATTCGTACATAATTAAAATCACACACACACACACACTCTCTCTCTCTCTCTCTCTTGAGGGTGGCCTCGCGGCTGAGTGGACTGCTCTCGGGAATCGTAGTCCTAATGGTACGGGATCGATTTCCGGCGTAGGCGAAAACAAATGAGTTTCTTTCACCCTGATGCACCTATTCACCTAGTAATAAATAGGTACCTGGGAGTTTGACAGCTGCTACGGGCTGCGTCCCGGGGATGTGTGTAGTGTGTGTGTACTCACCTATTTGTGCTTGCGGGGGTTGAACTTTGGCTCTTTGGTCCCCCCTCTCAACTGTCAATCTCTCAACGGTGTACAGATTACTGAGCCTACTGGGCTCATATCTACATTTGAAACTGTGTATGGAGTCAGCCTCCACCACATCACTGCCTAATGCATTCCATCCGTTAACTACTCTGACACTGAAAAAGTTCCTTCAAACGTCCCTGTTGCTCATGTGGGTACTCAGTTTCCACCTGTGTCCTCTTGTTCGCGTACCACCAGTGTTGAATAGTTTATCCTTGTTTACCTGGTCGATTCCCCTGAGGATTTTGTAGGTTGTGATCATGTCTCCCCTTCCTCTTCTGTGTGTGTGTGTGTTTGTGTGTACTCACCTAGTTGTACTCACCTAGTTGTGCTTGCCGGGGTTGTGTGTGTGTGTGTTTGTGTGTGTGTGTGTGTGTGTGTGTTAACTCACCTAGTTGTACTCACCTAGTTGTGCTTGCGAGGGATGAGCTTTGTCTCATTGGTCCCGCCTCTCAACCGTAAATGAACTGGTGTACAGATTCCTGAGCCTATTGGGCTCTATCATACCTATATTTGAAACTGTATGTGTGTGCGTGTGTTAGAGAGAAAAATATATAGTATCTATACTAGAGGAAAAGTAGATTGGTTAGAAAGACAGGGTCCAAGAGCTAACAGCTCGATTCTGCAGATACAAATAGTAAATACAATTAGTAAATACACACACAGAATGACATTTTCAGCATGAAAATTAGCAAAAATCCATCATGCCTATAAAGCCTCGATCCTTGGGCCGGAATATACACACTCCTGGTATCGCGATGCTGTCACCCACAGCTTCATCAATCACGCCTTTCCCCCTGGCAGATGTGAAACAAAAACCAGCCCTCCATTTGTATGAGCACTCGATGTGAGAGAGATATCATTCAGTCATTCAGTTGTGCCTTGGTATGTGGGACAAGACAGGCTCGGACCCACACCTACATATGGTCGCAGCGCCAAGATAAACCTGCAATATTTTATGATAATGACTTGATCACTAGTTCAGCATCTGGAGACTTACCGTTGTCACTTGGATATTGTTCTCGTTCACCTGTTTTACAAGGTATGGATACGCAGTCTTCGATGGCGAAATATATGTTATGTTCCTGTTTGTCAAAAGGTGTTCATTTGAGAAATATGAATATGAATGATGTGTTTGAAAATTTTGCTTGAAGGAACCAAAATGCTGCCATAGTCTCACCTGAGTAGTGAGACTGACGCTGAAATTTACGTAGGTTTCCTGAAGAGTGAACATCACCCCTGAAGTTGCTGGAACATCCCATGAACAGTACTCACCTAGTTGTGCTTGCGGGGGTCGAGCATCGGCTCTTTAGTCCCGCCTGTCACCGGTCAATCAACTGGTGTACAGGTTCCTGAGCCTATTGGGCTCTATCATATCTACATTTAAAACTGTGTATGGAGTCAGCCTTCTTCACATCACGTCCTAATGCATTCGTCTGTTAACTACTCTGACACTAAAAAAGTTCTTTCTAATGTCTCTATGGCTCATTTGGGCACTCAATATCCCTCTGTGTCCCCTTGTGCACGTCCCTCTTGTGTTAAATAAACTGAATTTACTCTATCAATTTCTCAGAGAATCTTGTAGGTAGTGCTCATGTTCAGTGTGTGACAAGGACTAATGCTGTACATATCTGTGTCTCTCAATCGAACTAACATCTTTCACATTCACGAGAAGCCAACACTAGTGATACAACAGTGTCACAACACATCACACACCTAGAGTAGTTTGGGGTATGTGAACAACGAACCACAGTCACAGTAACAAAGTGAACCAATCATAGTCACCCCGTTCACTCTGCACCTTGAATGGCTACCTAGATTATTATCTTCCACCTTTTCCATATATATATATGTGATATATAATGTTGGCAGCTTATGTTCTCTGGCTTAATTAATAACCAGCTAGTACACAATTACACTCTACTCCTAAGCTTGGCCAGGGCAGTGATCCCACAAGATAGGCCTCTCCAGTTACTAGGAGGCTTCTCCCACAAGCTAGGCGTGGCCAGTGATCCCATAAGCCAGTCCAGGTTTTTGGTTCCCTAAGCAAATCCTAGATAGGTTCCTTCAAGTCTTTACTAGTTCCTCCAAGCTTTACTAGTGGCCACATAAGCCTATCTGATTCGTGATCATACAATACAATTCTCACTAGTGGCCCTTGAGCTTGTGTGATCCTGTGGCATTGTGATCAAAGAGAAAGATACAATAACAAGAGACTTCCTTGGAACGCATGAGCACAGATACTGTTCTTTAGGCCATGTTTGGACAATGAATCTCTGAATACACATTTATGACTTATGCGCATTATAGAGGGTTTATAGAGGGTTTATTTGACCTTGTGATCGCAGATACAGGGGTTCTTTGATATTGAAAAACCTGCTTTGCCTTCACCAACAACTGCGTTTAATTAAACACTTAGATTCTCAACAGGTGTGACCTGAAGCTGCTGGTCAGGTCCAGACTGAAAACAGGATCCAAATCTAGGTTGCTAGTTGGGGCAAGATTTTTCCATTTCGATAATCCTTGTCGTTTGACTTTTACCTCAGTCTTTTGAATTCGGGTTAATTTTATTCGTTTACCATTAAAATCATCGTGTGTGTTTAAAGTTGTTTTTCTTCTCTGTTGTTCATTTTAATTTTCACAACAAGGCAACACTCTGAATTTGTCAGGGACATTAAGAGTCTCAGGTCATTAACACAACAACATAACTAGATTCGATGTAATATTCATTCACCTGCTGGCCCTGAAGCGAGGCTGTACGTCAGAGACAAGGCACCCGAGGATGAGAGGCCAGCAGCCATTCATCGAAACTGGCCAAAATGATAATATTTATCGTTGCTTTACCACCATAGCGAGATATCGTCATATAGCTGCACCGGCTGGACGAGAGAGTCAAAGGGTAAATCTATCAATAAAAATGTTCTTTGCTGAGATGTGAGCAGCAGGCCAGGGGAAGCAGGTTCAGTGTAACGACCCCAAGTCGTCGACCAGTCGAGCCGAACCCGGGGTCTTGCTCGAGGTCTTGTCCCGCTAGACCACTTTCCCTTTCCCTCACTCTCACATTATATAGATGGAGTGCTGGAATAATATATATATATATATATATATATATATACTAGGAAGGGTGGGGGTACCCAGCCGTGCACGTATCTGTCGCTTTGACCCCTATCTATCTATCTATCTATCTATCTATCTATCTATCTGTTTATATCTGTCCATCCATTTGACCAGCTCCGTACATTTATCTATCTACTATCTATCTATCTATCTATCTATCAGTTTATATTTTTCTGTACAGTAGATTTTTTTTATTAATACATGAGGTACATCTGCATTAGTGCAGCTACCCTAGACTATATGAGGTGGAGTACAGTGTGTCAAAAAAGCTAACTAAATGATGCTGAAAAATCCCCATTACACAGGATGGGTAGTCATACAGAGGCATGTGATAGGCAGTCTGCACTGGCAGACTTCGGATGCATTTTGAGGATATCATTAACACAAGAGTGAATAAGGTAGCAATGGTAATAAAATTCCCCATCTCGCAGGATGGTTAGTCATACAGGGCCATATGTTTTGAAGACTGCACTGGCAAATTTTGGATACACTGTGAGGATATCTTCAAGAATACGA